ACTAATGATGGGTCAAGTTCACAGTTGCCCTGAATTTTGTCAATCCCCCATACATTGTCAATCCCTCTGCCCGCTAGCTGCCCACTCAGGCCACTAGCCCTGCCTGTTCACAAGCCCCCAGGGAAAATCTTTTCACTAGAGAGTCTGTCCTCAGAAGTGGACCTGCCTGCCAAACCCTGTGCTCTACTGAACTCATCGGCTATCACTCTCTCTCGATGGGCACAGAGTCCATAATGGCAAACAGGTTATCAACTCTGAAGCAAATTGCTCTAATGATATACTGGAATTGAACAATTAATTCAGTAGGTGGGCACTGGTGGGAGGCAGGTCCGTCACTGTTGGAGAGAGAGGTTCAGTCAAGGGGAGGAAACTAGAACTCTAAGGTCACGTATCAGAGTGAAAGACGTGAGTATGAATTCATGTTCTGCTTACTACATACATGGTTCCGTACACATACATGGGTTAGCATGCATGCATGCTCTGTCAGCTGGGAGGGCCCAGAAGCCACGATACTACAACAGCAAAGTGCACACCTTGCACCTAGACCTCGGTTTCTAATTCTAACCTCCAATCCAAGGAACCAGTCTGCTTTCAGAGACATGGCTGATATTAGCATTGGGGAGGGAGCTTTCTAAGATGAGCCAGGAGCATCGTGCAGTGCAAGAAAGTAATGAAGTGCTAAAAACCCAAGGATCAAAAGGCTATAGGAAGAGCCCCCAATGACAAGCCCTGCGGTCCAAAGCAAACTAAATCGCCGTGAGTCCATACTGAGATGTGGGACTAAATAAATACATAAATAGGGAAACAGAGCCATCGCCTGTCTATGGAACTCCCCTGACTAACTTCCCCTTTCCTCAGCTGTGGGATGTGCAAAGTGACTTCCTTTCAAAGGGCACAGTACGTGAAGGAGGGACCAGAGTAGCTTTACGGTAGAGAAACCTGGCAAACGCCACTTAATGAGGTAATCACTCAACAGTGCTAAGCATACTGACAGCATGCAGCCTTGGTGTAGTGCGAGGAGAATGGCATCTTACCACAAACCCACCACTATAGTCGAACCAGGGCACAAACAGGCCAACAAAGAAAGACCTATCTTTCTACCTGACTGTCAGAGTCATCAAAAACCTGTCCCAACCAAAAGGACCCCAAAGAGGTGTGATGACAAAATGGTGTCATGAGTGGGATCTCAGCAAGGAAGTAGGGAGATCTGAAGAAAGTATGGCTGTCAATAGGTGATAATGTACTGAGGTCCCTTAATTGTGACAAGTGTACCTTACTAATGTAACAACAGAGGAACTGGGATGGTGGGGCACTTAGCAAGTTTCTGTACCTTTTGCAGTTTTTCAGAAAACCTATAAAGTGTTCTAAAAATGAAGTTTAAAAAAATCCATTTACTCAAAATTATTTTTTTAAAAAATCTTAAAGGTACTGCTAAACGATGAAAGAGATGGCAATCTGTTCTCTAAACCATTCAAGGAAAATAAAAGGAAGAAAGAACAACAATAACCAAAATCAATCTAGCCAGCAAAAGCCACCTAACACAAGCCAGGGCAGGATGGCAAAGCCAATTAAATAGAACACACTAACATAGGAATACGTACAATCTTAATGAGTAAAAGCAAGGAAAGTATGTCCATAGACACAAACGAAACAGAAAGAGCTGTAACTCTAGGTTAACAAGGCAAAATGACAAACAAAAGATGTGAGAAATAAGAAAATGGAGAAATACTAGCCAATTGTTAACAGAAAGAAGGCAGATGTAACAATATTAATAAGAGACAAAATAAAATCTAAGGCCAAAAACTCTACAAAAAGGAAAAGTAATACTTTATGAAAATAAAGGGTATAACCTACTGAGAAAATAGAATTTACAGAACTTAATGACCTAGACTCTAAAATGTATTACGATGGAGCCTGCTGCCTGCGAATAATCCTTGTAAACAAATGAGCAAAACAAACGAGGCAACTGACAATGAACAACAAGCAGTGCCATCCGGTGGGCCCTGAGAAAAAGAAATGGTGCCCATTAAAGCCGAGAGGTGCTCCTGGACTGAATCCTGAACAGACAGAGGCTATCATTTGGGCAACTGGTGGCATCTGAATGAGGTCTGTGGGCCAGCTGGTAATGCCGGGTCACTGATTTTAATGGCTGTTCTGCAGTGAGAAAGGAGAGCGTCCTTGTCTTTAGGAAATGCACAATGGAGTATCAAGGATAATGGGCATCTTGTCTGCAGCTGATTTGGAAAGGATTTCAGTAAAAATATTCAGAGACACACACCCATATTATAGAGACAATTACCCAAACTTGAATGGAGCCTGGTGATTACTAGGTGGTGGTAATGAATGTCTTTGAACTGGAGTGTTGGAGAATATTGAAAGAACTGTGAACTGCCAGAAATACGAGGCAATGTGTACAGCCACAGGGCTTCTTAGCACGGACAAACAAGAATTCCTTTCCTGTACTATGGGCATGCCATCAAGAGGAGCCAGTCCCTGGAGAAGGGGATCATGCTTGCTTCTTGTTGTTGTTGTTATGTGCCACTGAGTTTCCTGCGACTCACAGGGACCCTATGTACTCAGCTCTGAACCCTGCCCTATCCTGTGCCAATCTTATTGTCTCTGACACACCTACCCCCATTCCCCCAGTCACTGAATCGATCCACCTCTTGCAGGGTCTTCCTCTCCTGCGCTGTCCCTCCGCCCTCCCAAGCATGACAGCCCTCTCCAAGGACTGTTCCCTCTGGGTTAGTAGTGCCTTATGGACTAGGTCATCAGAGCAAAGGTCAGCCGAGTGGGCTGGCCAGGAATCGAACCTGGACAAGCTGCTTGGAAGGCACTTCGGCTCACCACTATGCCACCAACAACTCTTTGGTCTTGACATTTTTCAGTGCTGATCTATTTAATGGATGGATAAGGACACCAAGGCGGTGATATGTAACTGCTTGCCATGTCTGTGCGAAAGATCTGAAACCTGCACAGGTCTTGTCACGTGTGTATTCACAACAATCACACACACACACACACACACACATCTTCAATGCCAAGGACAGAGGATTCTAGATACTCCATACCAGTTTCCCCTTCATTTGCTCTACTGGAAGTGTCACCAGGGCCCACACTATGCTTAAATCTGTCCCAGGGAAAGCAGGGGACCAGCACCTGCGTCCAGAGAGCAATTCTCCCAGAAAGAAGGCCACGTGGGTCAGTGGTGAACCCAGGAGCAAGTGCAGGGAGAGACGGGCCAGAATCCAGCTCAGACCTTAGGGCTCAGATGGGGAGCTGCATAATGTGACAACTGCTTGAGTCCCTTTAACACTTGGGACCTCCTGATAGCAGCTGGAAGGCCCAGCTATACCACACCTGGAAGAAGCCATCAATAAGGCTACCCCACCATCCTCTGCGGGCCTGGCGTGTTCTGGGTAGCACTGCCAACTAAATGGTCAGTGTTTCAAATCCACCAGGTGCTCTTTGGAAGAAAGATGGACAACTCTCCTTCCGTAAAGAAGGAACCTCGTGGAGGACAGGAGACTCAAAGGCGGTGGGGACCACCTTGAGATGACGAATACCTCCCAGCACAGGAGCCCCACAATCACACCACAGCAGTCACTTCCCTTCCCCCCGCCCCAGCTGGGGCCCAGACGAATCAGAGAAAGGAGGTCACACACCTCCCTGCACAATACTGCCCTCCTCTTCCAGTTTCTGGTGGCCCCAGGAGTTCCTGGGACCCTGACACCAATGACACGTGGCTGCCTCTCTCTTCTGTCAGTGCCTGTTTTCCTCTTTTTAGAAGGACATCACTTTGGCTGTTGTTGTTGTTCTGTACTGTCGAGACAGAAATGACCCATCGCTGACCCTCCAGAGGGTTTTCAGAGGCTGTATAAAGAGCTTACTTCCAAACAAGGAATCTTTCACAGGGCTAGGATTCCAATGTCCTGATGTGAGCCCATGTTAGACCTCTAAGTTTATGGTCATTGTCATAGCAGCAAGAGGAAACCAATCCCTTCTCCCTTACTGCTTCCTTCTGAGTGCTTGTTCATTCTTCCTGTCAACCATCTGGGGTCCGGGGAACAGCAGGGAGGCCAGTGTGGCCTGGGCCTGGAGAAGTGCAGCTGGTGTGGGCTTCAAAGTCCAAGTGCCCACCTTTGTCCTGAGCAGGTGCCCAGTGTGTGCTGAGAAACCTTTTCCAGACCCTGTTTAGATAACCCTGGAATGTCACACTTTCAACAATTATTCTTTTAATATAAGATCCCGACTTACAATTATATGTATTCTAATTGGGTAAAGTGACTGGCAAAGGCCTTCATTATGGCCCGAAATTCAAGCCCAATATATGATTAGCCCTGTGCTACAACTTGGCATTTGTGAACAGCGCACCACAGCTGTGTCATTTACACAGCTTCCTCCAATTACTGGGCTCGCAGGACACTTGAACAAGGTGCAGTCCAATCACCACAGCCTTTCATTTACCTGGAGAAACACACTTGTCAGTCACTCCCGCTCAAAACGCAGAGGGGTGTCCGGGGGCAGCAACTCCAATTATCCTCCAGGAGCTTAATTTGCTAATCCTGTGAACAACGGCAATACTCATGCAAAAGTGGGGTGATCACACAGCCATCTTCAGAAAACGGCATGTCAACAGGCTCCTCGTGTCACTTCTCCACGGGCTCTCACAGCCGGGCTACCCACCGAGCTGTGAAGGTCCTTCCCCTTGGTGGGTGTTCACTGAAGTGTCATCTGCCCACCACACACACTTACCTAAAAGTTCTGGAGTAACTGAGAACAGGGAGCAGGAATCCTAGAAGGCTTCCTAGAGGCTGGGAGCTTGAGAGAAACCTCTAGAACTAGGAAGGACGTGGCTTGGAAGACAAGCAGGAGACAAATGGCACCTGCACTTGACCAGAACATGGAAACGTCTTCCAGGCCAGGAGACACCTGTGCACATGAAGGCCCACGCACACACAGCACAGCGGCTGGGACACTAACACAGCCGCCTGACTTACTGTCATACTACTGCTGCCTGTCACGATGAGAAGCTTCCGAAAGACGGGGAAAGCCACGATGCGGAAAGTACGCGGGGACAGCGTGGGCATCTGCTGTTCGTGGTCAGCGACTCGGCTCCACCTCAGCACGCCGCCTGCTGGAGAAGCGCTTCTGGGCCCTGTCACGGTTATCTTAGTGGCAGTGTATGACCAGACCCCCTGGGTGGGCTGGCACTGCCAGTCGCGAGGCCCCAACGTTTCCTTGGACGGCTGTAACAGCTATTTCAGATGGAGCAGCAACGGGGGAAATGAGACAAAACTCGATTCAGTACGAGTTGTGGATTTGGGGTGGGGATGGCATCCAATTTAGGAAACATCCAACAATTCTGAAAATAGACAACACAAAGACAAAAACAAGCCAAAACCAAACAGACCCACTGTCGTTAAGTTGGTCATTACTCACGGCAAATTCACCAGTGTGTTTCTGACGCTATAAATCCCAGTGGGAGCAGACTGCCCCATCCTTCTCCCCAAGAGCGGCTGATGGATTAGAACTGCTGACCTTTGAGTGAACAGCCCAATGCATTCATTATGTACTATGCTACCAGGGCTTGCTACCCACAGACAAACTGTTCAACTCACTGCCTTCAAGTTGGAACCAATTTGTAACTAACCTCCAGTGGTTTTTAAGAGCTGTAAATCACACGGGAGAAGGCTGGGCACTCTCCCCCCCGTGCAGTTAACTGCCTCTAAAACCCCTCTGAGGGTCAGCTATGGGTCGGTTCGACTCTCCGGTGCCCAACAACAAAACACGTGGGAGAATATCCAACAGCTGGTGGATTCAAACTGCGTGCCTCTGGGTTTGCAGCCCACTGGGTAACCAGACAAGAGAACCCCCATCTTAAAATTCTTGACCATTTAGTCCAGTAATTCTCAGATGCAAACTGTCGACTTAGGGTATGAAATCCTAGACCAGAAGCAGGTCATTAGGTGAAAAAGCAGGAAGTCTGTGTCCATGAGGACACTAGTTCACCAGGTGTGACAGGTGCACCTACTAATGCAGCACGCAGCCAGCAGAGGGGACCGGATACTATTACCACAGTTTTTCATTAAAGGTCAAACTTCCCCAAGTGAAAAATTTCATTTTTATAAATGTCCAGGCTCTAAGCTGATCCTGCTCTTGGCCTGGGCTTAAGAGGATAAGAGGACGGAGGTGGCTCCCTGTGAAGTCTTTATCCCTTCCAATGTACTTGGGAAGGCATCATGCAGAAGATAATTGAAACTGAGTTAGATTTGGCAAATGTCTTATTGTTGCTATGTGCTGTCGAGTCACTTGTGACTCATAGCGACCCTATGTACAACAGTCCTAAACTCTGCTCGGTCCTGTGCCAAACACACTCTCTGACACACCTACCCTCATGACCCCAGTCACTGAATCAATTCATCTCATCGAGGGCCTTCCCCTCCTGCGCTGTCCCTCCACCCTCCCAAGCATGATATCCCTCCTTACAACATGCCCAAAGTATGTCAGACGAAGCTTCTGAATTCTTGCCTCCAAGGAGCAACCTGGCTTCACCCTCTCCAGGACAAACCTGTTTTTTCTCCTAGCATTCCATGGTGTATTCAACACCTTCTCCAGCACCACAGCTCAAAGGCATCAATTATCTTTCTATCGTCCCTAGTCACTGTCTAACTCTCTGAAGCACAGCATGTAATTGTGAACACTATGGCCTGGATCAGGTGCACCTTAGTCTCCAGCCTGACATCATTGATCTTCAGTACTCTGGAGAGGTCCCTGACAGCTGACTTTCCCAATGCAATTCATCTCTTGATTTCGTGGCTGCTGGTACCAAGAGTGTTGATCTGTTCTACATACAGATTGAAAAGGTATGGAGACAGAATACATCTCTGATGGACCCCCTTCTTGATTTTGAACCATGTAGTGTCTCCTTGCTCTGTTGTGACGACTGCCTCTTGGGATTCCCATTCTTCTCAGACTCAGTGATAGCTTGTTGTGATCCACACAGTCAAACACCTTTGCATAGTCAAGCACAGATGGACATTCTTCTGGTACTCTCTGCTTTCCGCCAAGATCCATTTAACACTAGCTATAATAACCCTAGTACCACAGCCTCTTCTAAACCCAGCATGCACATCTGGCAGATCTCTGTTGACGTGTTGCTCCAGTCATATTTGGATAATTTTCAGCAGAATCTTGCTTGCATGTGATATTAATGATATTGTTCAATACTTTCTGCACTCTTGTCAGATCACCTTTCTTTGGAATGGGAACAAATATCAATCTCTTCCAGTCAGTAGTCTAGTGGTGGTTGTCCTCCAGATTTCTTGGCACAACTTGGTGAACACATCCAGGCAGCGTCTGTCTGTTGAAATATGTCAATCGGTATGCCATCAACTCCTGGAGCCTTGGTTTTTTGCCAATTCTTTCAGAGCAACCTGAACGTCCTCCTTCATCAACACAGGCTCTTGCTTATACATTGTTTCATGAAATTCTTTAGTGTCAGTCAATTCCTTCTGGTGCAGTGACTCTGTACTCCTTCCATCTTCTTTTAATACTTCTTGGATCATTTAACATTCTGCCCAAAGTATCCTTAAGTATTGCCACTTGTGGCTTGATTTTGTTTTTCAATTCCTTCACCTTACAAAATGCTGAGTGAGTTCAGCCCTTTTGATTTTCTGACTCCAGTTCTTTGCACATTTCATTGTAATATCTTCTTTTGTCATCCCGAGCTGTCCTTTAAATTTTCTGTTCAGCTCTTTAATTTCTTGATTTCTTCCTTTAGCGTTGGCTTCTCAGTGCTCTAATGCAATATTCAGAGTCTAATTTCTTGATTTCTTCCTTTAGCATTGGCTTCTCAGTGCCCTAATGCAATATTCAGAGTCTCATCTGACATCCATCTTGGCTTTTTCTTCCTCTTCAGCCTTTGCAATGATCTTTTTCAGTGAATACCACTATCATCCAAACATATGCACCAACAACTAGAGCCAAAGAGGAGGAAATAGAAGATTTCTACAAACCTTTGCAGTCAGAAATCGATAGAACATACAATCAAGATGCATTAATAATAATGAGTGACTGGAACGCGAAAGTTAGGAACAGGGAAGTAGGATCAATTGCTGGAAAACATGGACTTGGTTACAGAAATGAAGCTGGAGATAGAATGATAGAATGATGCATATTCAATAACTTATTCACTGCAAAGACCTTTTAGAAGAAACACAAATGCAGGCTATACACATGGATTTCACCTGATGGTATGCATAGGAGTCAAATCAATTACATCTGTGGAAAGAATCTCTGGAGAAGCTTAATATCAGCTGTGAAAACCAGGCCAGGTGCTGATTGTGGAACAGACTACCAGTTACTCACATGCAAATTCAAGCTAAAGTTGATGACAATGCCCTAGCAAAATGTCTAGAGATCGAAATTTGTTAGCAGTTGCGAAAAATGGGATAGAGAAGAAAAAGTATAGCCATAATTGCTTAGGGGCAGCCATGGTGAAAGGTGATGGGAAAATATGGAAAAAAGATGGTTGGTGTTTGGTTATGTGTGCACCAGTGGTGAACATTACTAATGCCACTTAACTGTACACATAAAATGTTGACGGATTAAATGTTTTATTATACCTACGCGTACACATGTGTGTATACACACACATAGTAGAAAAGCGTGTTAACACAAAAGCCACATCTCTCTAGTGGTTCAAATCCCAGTGGATAATCTCCTCCCATGCAATGTACAGCCTCCGAAAACTGCTGGGTCAGTTATGAGTCCGTTCCAACTTAATGGCCATAAATGAGTGAGTGAGATTGTTGGTAGGTGTCGTGGAGTCAATTACGACTCACAGCGCCTCCAAGATGTGAACCTTGCCCGATCCCGGGCCCTCCTCATTAGCTTGGCCACACTTAGATACACCGAAACCAAACTCGGCCCCGGTGCTGTAAAATAGGGATAGTAGTCGCTCCCCTTCATGGGGTCTCCAAGACAGCAAATCTTCACCCGAGGAACCTGCTTCATCGTCCTCCCAGGGGACGGCCAGTGGGTTTGAACTGTCGACCTTTTGCTTAGCAGCCCAGCATTTAACTATGTTACCAGGAATCCATATTTGCAATTTAACACAGTAAAAAAAAACCTCGAAACTGTAAAAGCCAACTGAGTTACACACATCAGAGTCCAGGCACAAAGAGCCCTCTGGTGCTGCAGAGGGTGCCTGTCTTCTGTTTTCATCTTTCCTTCTTTACATTCTCTCAGGTGGGGTCAAACGAACGAGAGACTTTGCTGGATGACCAGCTGCATGTGTCTGAGGATGAGATAGTTCCTGGGAAATGACTTTAAATGACACCTGGGTCTCTAATTTCAAGGAGGAACATCTCAAATGCGTGAGTTGAGTTCTAGCCCAGCCTGAGTCCCTCCAAAACACAAGTTGGAAACTCAAGTAGGGTTTCTGTTTTTTAAGACATTCTACACCTCCACCCCACAGGCAATTCACCCCAGACTCCAATGAAAGAGCCTTAAAAAGGCATACACCTCATCAGACAAATGGTAAACCAAGTGTGACATATCCCCATGATGGGGTATTACTCAGCCCAAATGAGAAATGCAGGCTTCAACTGTGGGTGGTCCTTGAAGATATGCTGAGTAACATCAGTCAGCCACTTCTATGAGATATCCAGAATCCGTAAACCCACAGACAGAAAGTCTATCGGTGGTCGTCAGGAATGAGATTGGGGCGAAAGGGCCACTGGCGAGGACCACATTCTAAAACTGATTACGGGCCGTTCCATAACCTTGTGTATCGCTACCAATACCTCTATGTCTTGTCTCTCTGTCATTGCTGTTGAGGCAGAACTGCCTCGCGGCGACCACCTCCCAGCTTTCGGAGGCTGTAAATCACACAGGAGATTGCCCAGGAAGCAGTTGATGGGTTCGAACCGCCAGAGAGGCATGCCCTTCGGGTTAGCAGTGCAACTCCCTACAGAGCATGCCACTAGGGTTCTCTGTTTTTCTACTTTTAAAAAAAATCAAACAAGGACAAAAACATCACACACAAACTGACCAAATGGAACATTTTAAAGGAGTAAATTACATT